AAATTTTTTTCAAGAAAAAAACAATAAAATTTAAACAAACTATACTGTGGATAGCATGACATCAATTAATTATGAAAAGGATGTAGACAAAGCTAAAGCCTACTGATAAACCTTAACTAATCTGATACAATATCTAAAAATTGAAATACTACCAGTAAACATGAAGAGACTTTCTCAAGTATTTAAACATATATTCCAAAACACTGAGCAATAACAAAGGCTAAGGAAATATTAAATTTAAGGGAAAGCTCTGATATGATAAACTCTCTTTACCTATAGGTAATCGATTCTTTTTATTTGCTGGAGTGGTTGCTGGAGACAGCTGAGGTGTATTGTATGGAGTCATTTCTAAACTGCTGCTTTTTCCTGGCTTGGCCGGGGGTAGGTTTGCCAATAAATTGTCAAGAGCCATTCTATCTTCTCTTAATTGATCTCCAGACATCACACTCTTCATAAAATTCACCTGGCAAAAGCAAAGAACATTAGCTAGTGAAATCATTTTTTCAAATACAATATGTATTTCTCATACAATGTACTCATGTATGTCTCTGCTCACACTAAGCTAAAAGACATGTCAGAGAATCCTATTAAACAATGAAGCCATTACCAGAGTAATAAGCTGACTGTAGGTTATATAAACCACAGTTCTGCTCAATCCTTCCAGAAGATTAACGGAAGACAATGGAGGGGTCTCCACGGCACGGCCCCCAATCACAACATCAAGGAAAGCGGCAACACAGCTCTGTTAAAACAGGAAAATAACAGTGAAACATCTCCCCTTTAAAATACTGGAACAAAATTTCTCATTGAGGTGGACAAGCATGAAAAAACTTTAACATCTTAAAAATCCTATTTTTTTGGCCAGGCTCGGTGGTTCACGCCTGTAATCCTAGCACTTTTTGGAAGGCTGAGGTGGGTGGATCGCCTGAGACAAGGAGTTCGAGGCCAGCCTGGCCATCATGGTGAAACCCCATCTTTTAAAAAAAAAAAAATCCTATTTTTTTAAGATGTTAAACAAATTAATTTTTTTTTTGATACGAAGTTTTGCTCTTTGGCCCAAGCTGGAGTAAAATGGTGCCATCTCAGCTCACTACAACCTTCATCCCCTAACACCCCCTTTCCACCCATTAAAGCGATTCTCCTGCCTCAGCCTCCCAAGTAGCTGTGATTATAGGTGTCACCACTATGCCCAGCTAATTTGTGTATTTTTAGTAGAGATGGGGTTTCGCCATGTTGGACAGGCTGGTCTCCAACTCCTGACCTCAGGTGATCCACCCGCCTTGGCCTCCCAAAGTGCTAGAATTACAGGTGTAAGCCACCCCACCCAGCCTAATTGTCGTATTTTTTGTAGACATGGGGTTTCACCATGTTGCCCAGACTGGTCTCAAACTTCTGAGCTCAAGTGATCCACCCACCTCAGCTTCCCAAAGTGCGTACAGCACTAGGATGACCAGAATGACCCACTGCACCCCACCTAAAAAATGAAACTTTTTTTTGTACTAATACTAGACTAAGAACTTGGGGCTGGGTGTGGTGGTGCATGCCTGCAAACCTAGCACTTTGGGAGGGCAAAGAGGGGTGGATTGCTTGAGCTCAGAAGTTCGCAACCACTTGGGCGACATGGCAAAACCTTGCCTCTATAAAAAATACAAAACTTAGCCAGGCATGATGATGCGCACCTATAGTCCCAGCTACTTGGGAAGCTGAGGTGGGAGGACTGCTTGCGCCAGGGAGGTCAAGGCTGCAGTGAGCTCAGATGGCATCAGTGCACTGCAGCCTGGGTGACAAAGTGAGACCCTGTCTCAAAAAAAAGGAAATTAACAGTAAGATCTTGTAGACAAACATAACATAACACAGAAGAGTATACACACTGTGTTACTATTTCTGAAAGGGGAAAGATGGGGTGGATGGAAGTACACAGTACACGTAGGAATTTGCTTGTTTACATATGGACCTCTAGTAGGATACACAAAAGCCTGGTAACATCAGGAATATTTTGGGGGCCAGGCATGCTGGCTCACACCTCTAATCTCAGCTACTCGGAGGCTGAGGCAGAATTGCTTGAACCTAGGAGGTGGAGGTTACAGTAAGCGAGATTGCATGATTGCATTCTAGTCTGGGTGACAAGAGTGAACCTCCATGAAAAGAGCAAAACTCAATCTCAAAAAAAACGAATCTTTTGTGGGGGCAGGGAATGAAGATTACAGATGAGAGGTGGAAAAGGAATTTTACTGAAATATCCTTGAATTGGGCCGGGTGCAGTGGCTCACACCTGTAATCCTAGCACTCTAGGAGGCTGAGGCGGGTGGATCACGAGGTCAGGAGATCGAGACCATCCTGGCCAACATGGTGAAACCCTATCTCTACTAAAAATACAAAAATGAGCCGGGCATGGTGGCAGGCGCCTGTAGTCCTAGCTACTCAGGAGGCAGAGGCAGGAAAATCGCTTGAACCCCGGAGGCAGAGGTTTCAGTGAGCCGAGACTGAGCCACTGCACTCCAGCCTGGGCGACAGAGCAAGGTTCCAGCTCAAAAAAAAAAAAAAGCCAGACATGGTACCTCACGCCTGTAATCCCAGCACTTTGGGAGGTCAGGAGTTGGAGACCAGCCTGACAAACATGGTGAAACCCTGTCTCTATTAAAAATAACAAATTAGCCAGGCGTGGTGGCACACACCTGTAATCCCAGCTATTAGGGAGGCTGAGGCAAGAGTATCGCTTGAACTCAGGAGGTCACAGTGAACCAAAATCATGCCACTGCACTCCAGCCTGGGCGACAGAAGGAAACTCCGTCTCAAAAAAAAAAAAAAAAGAAAAAAGAAATATCCTTGAATTTCCATAGGTTGAATGGATACCTACTGAAGGTAAGATTAAAATTTTATTTAACTAAATTAATTGAACAATGTCATAGATGTTAACTTATAAACTATACTTAAAATTAAACAATTATCGACCAGGCATGGTGGCTGATATCTGTAATCCTAGCATGCTGGAACGCTGAGACAGTAGGATCGCTTGAGGCCAGGAGTTCAAGACCAGTCTCGGGAACACAGCAAGAGCTCGTCTCTACAACAATAAAAACCGGGCATGGCAGTGTGCCCCTGCAGCCCAGCTACTTGGGAGGCTGAGGTGGAAAGAATGCTTGAGCCCAGGAGTTTGAGCCATAATCATACCACTGCACTGCACCACTGCACATCCAGCCTGGGCAACACAGTGAGACATTGACTCAAAAATTTAAAAGTTATACAACTATTGCTGATTCATATTTCGATGGATTTCAAAGTTATACAACTATTTAAAAATTTTAAAAGTTATACAACTACTGCTAATTCATATTTCTATGGATTTAATCTAGTGACAATTTTTTAAAAATAAACTTTTTGAAATAAAACAATCTTAATAGCTCTGATTCTCTTTATGTGGCATCTGTGGGAGTTAATCATCTTTAATGACATCTTTTCAATGCTGCTGATCCAATACTGTAGCTAATTAAAAGAACATTTAATTTAGACATCACCTAAAAACAAGATTTAATAAAGAGAGCAGTTAGGCTCACTAATACTTCAGCAGAATTTTCTATAAACTGTATTTATTCTTACTTTGTCAAATTTTCCAAGGCTGCTCTTTGTTCGGGGATCTCCCTCTTCAGAGCCCGTCATTGCTAACTGCTGCAAAAGGCGGCCCACCTGCAACCCAAAGCAGTGGTAGGGACACATAAGCTATAGACAGATACTCACAAATTCCTCTCAATGAAAGCAACCATATCTATTATTTTCTAAAAATCTGCTTCATAATATTATCCATTCTACCTGAGCAGGCATATGAAATAGTATCCCCAATAAAATGCATACCTTAGATCATCAGCTTTTACTATTTTTAGATTGAGAGTTACAGAGAGAATGTAGAAATTTTTGCTTTAATTTCTCTTTAACACATAGATATCAACAATAGGGGGGAAAAAGTACAGGTTGGATGTGGTGGCTCACACCTGTAATGCCAACACTTTGGGAAACCAAAGTGGTTGGATCACCTGAGGTCAGGAGTTCAAGACTGGCCTGGTCAACATGGCAAAACCCCATCTTTACTAAAAATACAAAAATTAGTCAGGCATGGTGGCACAGGCCTGTGGTCCTAGCTACTCAGGAGGCTGAGGCAGGAGAATCACTTGAACATGGGAGGAAGGGGTTGCAGTGAGCTGAGATCGTGCCACTCACTCCAGCCTGGGTAACAGAGCGAGACTCCATCTCGGAAAAAAAAAAAAGTACAATACATTTGTTTCTGATATTTTCCATTTCATGTGTTTAGAGCCTGACTCACTCATAAATTACCTCAAGTTAATACTAATAACATTACCCTAGAGAGTTCACAAAGCACTCAAGGTAGAATTTTTTTCCTAGATTTAGAAGCAAATGATTTCTATGGAACACAAGCTAGTTTAGTAAAGTAAATACTAATTCATAGAAAAAGTACCTTACTAGCAAAAGTAAGTTGTTACTATACTCTCTTTAAAGGCTGATGATGAAAGTCATTACAGCATCCTCTTCTTAATATCTGGGACAAGCCCCCTTTTTACTATTTTGAAAATAATGTAAATCAATCTCTACTGGAATAACAAAAAATAAAACTACAAATATATTACCTACCATAAGAATGAATTTGGTGTTTCATGGGCCGTGAGGCACAGTGCCTCATACCCATAATCCCAGCACTTTGAGAGGTCAAGGTGGGAGGATTACAAGGCCAGGAGTTCAAGACCAGCCTAGGCAACACACCAAGACCCTGTCTCTACAAAAGCATGTTTTAAATGAGCCAGGTGTGGTGGTATAAACCTACAGTCCCAGCTACTCAGGAGGGTGAGGCAGGAGGGTCACTTGAGCCCAGGAGGTAAAAGGCTACAGTGAGCTGAGATGGCACTACTGCAGTACAGCCTGGGTAACAGAGTAAAACTGTCTCAAAAAAAAGAAATAATTAGTTTCATGGATGATAAGGTGTTAAAAATCTTGTGCTGGCTTCAGAAGCACATATACTAAAATTGGGACTCTACAAGAGAAGATTAGCATGGGCCCTGTGCAAGGATGACATACAAATTTGTGAAGAGTTCCATACTATAAATTTTTTAATTTAGAAAATGTTTTAAAAAGTTAAAAATTTTATTTCAGGCATTTCTGTATAGTAAATTGCTAAACATCCCAAGGTGATGTAACTGATCATAAAAAAAGAGTTAATCATTTTTTTGGATTAAAAAAAATTTTTTTTTGAGGCGGAGTTTCACTCTTACTGCCCAGGCTGGAGTGCAACGGTGTGATCTCGGCTCACTGCAACCTCCTCCTCCCAGGTTCAAGCAATTCACCTGCCTCAGCCTCCTGAGTAGCTGGGATTATAGGCAGGTGGCACCACGCCTGGCTAATTTTGTATTTTTAGTAGAGACAGTGTTTCTCCATGTTGGTCAGGCTGGTCTCAAACTCCCAACCTCAGGAGATCCACCCACCTCAGCCTCCCAAAGTGCTGGGATTACAGGTGTGAACCACCACACCCAGCCAATTTTTTATTTTTTTTAACAGACACAGGGCAGGGGGGTCTATGTTGCCAAAGCTGGTTGGGAACTCCTGGCCTCAAACGATCTGCCCACCTTGGACTCCCAAAGTGCTGGGATTACAGGTGACAGCCACTACACCCACCCTGAGCTAATCATTTTTTAAAAAGCACCCAAAAATAGTCTACTGTTAATAAATCCGAGTTCTTCACAGTATATCTGAGGGATATGATTAAAAGAGTTTATGAAGAAATACCCTAAGTTCAGTCATTCAGATGATTGCAAAAAAGTGCTAATATAGATCCAAAAATCCTCTTTCTGAAATTCTTAGAAGAGTTTCAGATTTCAGAATTTAGAGATTTTAGAAAGGTAATATAGTATATATATATATATATATATATATATATATATATACACAATATGTTCAATATATAGATGGCATTTTGTAATCAAATGCATTAACATTTCTGCAACAAAACATGAGTATTCACTAGCACTACATGGAATAACAATTATAAATATAGCCAGGCCTGGTAGCAGGCGACTGTAATCTCAGCTACTCAGTAAGCTAAGGCAGGAGAATCACTTGAACCCAGGAGGCGGAGGTTGCAATGAGCCAAGATTGCACCATTGCACTCCAGCCTAGGCAACAAGAGTGAAACTCCGTCTAAAAAAAGAAAAAAAAAAAAAAAAAAAAAATAGGTGGCTCAAGCCTGTAATCCCAGCACTTTAGGAGGCCGAGGTGGGCAGATCACAAGGTTAGGAGATCGAGATCATCCTGGCCAACACTGTAACCCCGTCTCTACTAAAAATACAAAAAATTAACTGAGCGTGGTGGCACACACCTATAGTCCCAGCTACTCAGGAGGCTGAGGCAGGAGAATCGCTTGAACCCACTGCACTCCAACTTGGTGACAGAGCGAGACTCCATCTCAAAAAAATAAACAAATAAAAATTTAAACTAAAAAAACTGTGAATAGCCTCATGTTAGTTCAGCACAGGTTTTGCTACCAAATAAAGTAGAGAAGACACTCAGGTTTTATTCATTTTGGGTTCTGAAATTATAGAAAAAGAATGGTGGACTTGTTCTAGAAAAATTTAATCAACTCTATATTCAAATGTGTGAGGATTCCATTTAAAAACAACCACAAAAGGTTTTGTGACTTCAATAATTTTAAATCCCAGTATTATTGCTTTTATTTAATAAGATGCAAATATCTAGGACTGGTTGAGAAAAAGTAGTAAGAATATATTAATTGTCACCATATTATTTGTTCCCACCCCCACAGCCCAATCAACTGATTTTAAATGCCACATTCATGAAAACAGCAAAAGCATACCTGCATCAGATTAAATCGTGCCACCTCATTAATAGGAGCATCAGAAATTATTCCATACTGTTCTGGATTGACAACTGCAGGACAAATGAAGCAGGCCAGCAGGAGATCAGTACACATTGCCCTGACCTCCCCAACTTCTAGCCTATCTACACAGGAGAGGGTTTTGTACATCTGAGACACGATCCACCTTAAACTATGTGGAAAACAATATGTGTTCTGTTTGAGATAACCAATAAATTTGTTCACCAAAGCCACTAGTTTGGCTTCATTGGACTCCACCATTTCTTGAACTTTTTGCCTGAATCTATCTGAGCCCTTCTCTCCAAAGAGTTTTTCCTGCTGAGATGGGGAGAACCTCTCAATTAGCTTATTTGGATCTGTTTCCAGGTGATCTTCATCTTCAACAAGCAGTTGCATAATTGGCTCATGTAGAGTGGCTGTGAGGAAAAGTTTGGCAGAAAACAGTCCTTCAGAAAAAAGTTTAAATAAGATGCTGAAGGCACAAGTTCCTCTCCTCAAAAGTCGCCTAGGGTTGTCACTTTCTTTAAGTTCAAATTCAATCAAGTATCGCAAAACCTGAAGGAGGTAGCTTTCATCTTCTTGCATGATGCAATTGCCATACAGGGAGGTAAAAACTGTGTAAATAACACTTTGTGTATTCTCCTGATTAAGTTTCTCTCCAGCAACCAAAGAGGAGGCAATAAGACGAGGATTTTCTCTTAATCGACTCAAGAATTCTCCATAAGCAGTCTCCTGAAATCCCAATTGTTTATACCCATCAACAAATTGTGTATCTTCCAAAATCTTGGCATGTTGGCAACATTCAGCAGGGGAAGCTTCAGCACTAAAAAAAATGAGCAAACAAGTAAAATAATAGTATTAATAACACATACACTATATCCAAACATGGATATGTGAGTTGATTATAGTCCCAACAAAGGTCACTCTAAACTGCTAAAATTTTTTAGATCAACAGCATCTCAATGAGTAAAGGAAGATAAAACTAAAAAGTACAAAGGACAATTTCCTCGTATCAAATCAGGATCAATGAAAAGTATCAGGGCTGAGCACTGTGGCTCAAGCCTTGTAATCCCAGCACTTTGGGAGGACAAGGCGGGCAGACCACTTGAGGCCAGGAGGTCAAGACCAGCCGGGCCAACATGGCGTAACTCCCATCTCTTCTAAAAACACAGAAGTTAGCCAGGCATGGTGGCAGGCACCTATAATCCCAACTACTTAGAAGGCTGAAGCAGGAGAATCGCTTGAACCCAGAAGGCAGAGGTTGCAGTGAGCTGAGATCATACCACCACATGCCAGCCTGGGCAACAGAGCAAGACTCTGTTCTGAAGAAAAAAGAAAGAAAGAAAATTATCAGTTTGTCTATCCTAACAACTACTGTCAAGAGCTGCACTCTTTTTTTTTTTTTTTTTTGAGATGTAGTTTCACTCTTATTACCCAGGCTGGAGTACAATGGCGCGATCTCGGCTCACCACAACCTCAGCCTCCTGGGTTCAGGCAATTCTCCTGCCTCAGCCTCCTGAGTAGCTGGGATTACAGACACACACCACCACGCCCAGCTAATTTTTTGTATTTTCAGTAGAGATGGGGTTTCACCATGTTGACTAGGATGGTCTCAATCTCTTGACCTCGTGATCCACCCGCCTCGGCCTCCCAAAGTGCTGGGATTACAGGCGTGAGCCACCGCGCCCAGCCCAAGAGCTGCACTCTTATGGACTAAATTAAAATTAGCTACCGGCCACAGTGGCTCACACCTGTAATCCCAGCACTTTGGGAGGTCAAAGTGGGAAGATTACTAGAACCCAGGAGTTTGAAACCAGCCTGGAAAACATGATGAAACCTCATCTCTATAAAAAAAAATACAAAAAAGAATTGGTAAAATACAACTATATTTAGCTGAAAAAAAAAAAGTAGCTAGATGTGGTGGCGTGTGCCTGTAGTCCCAGCACTCAGGAGGCTAAGGTGGGAGAATTGCTTGAGGTCAGGGGGTTGAGACAGCAGTGACCCAAGATCGCACCATTGCATTCCAGCCTGGGCAACAGAGCCAGATCCTGTCTGGGGGAAAAAAAAAATCAGCTACAGTTAAATTGCTTATTCACAGACATAAGAAAGTTTATAAATATTCAAGTACTAAAAAATAATGAAAATGGCCGGGCGCTGTGACTCATGCCTGTAATCCCAGCACTTTGGGAGGCTGAGGCAAGCAGATCACAAGCTCAGGAGTTTAAGACCAGCCTGGCCAATATGGTGAAACCCCAATCTCCACTAAAAATAAAAACATTAGCCAGGCATGGTGGTAGGTACCTGTAGTCCCAGCTACTCAGGAGGATAAGGCAAGAGAATTGTTTGAACCCAAGAGGCAGAGGTTGCACTGAGCCAAGGTTGTCCCACTGCACTCCACCCTGGGCAACAGAGCGAGACTCCATCATTCATTCATAAATAAATAAATCGAAATTTAAAATAATAATAGAAGTAAAAATGAAGTCAAAAGCAACATGCCAGTATGCAATGACCTGCAGAATCACATCCTTTAACCAGGCTTTTAGCTTCTGGAAACAAATCCAAACGAAATGAGCCTAAAAGATGGGGGTAAAAAAACACAATGCCCACAGCAGCACTGTTCTTTATTTTTTTTTCAACTTATTTTTATTGAGGTAAAATACAGTAAAGTGCACAAATATCAAGCATTCACCTTAAACAATTTTTACACATATATGCACCCAGTAATCTCAGATTAAGACATCAAACATTTTAAATACCCCAGAATGCTTCCACATGCCCTTTCCCAATCAATACCACCCTCTCAAGCCCAACAAGTAAACATTATTCTGATTTCTGTTATCAAAGATCAGTCCTGCCTCTTTTTGAACTTCATACAAATAGAATTATACATAAGGTATTCTTTTGAGTCTGGCTTATATTCTCAACAGCACTAATATTCTTAGAGTTATTCTTACTGTTCTTCTGGCCGGGCGCGGTGGCTCATGCCTGTAATCCTAGCACTTTGGGAAGCCAAGGAGGGTGGATTGCCTGAGCTCAGGAGTTTGAAACCAGCATAGGGAGCACAATGAAACCCTGTTTCTACTAAAAATATAAAAGATTAGCTGGGCATGGCAGCATGCACCTGTAATCCCAGCTACTCCGGAAGCTGAGACAGGAGAATTGCCCGAACCCAGGAGGTGGAGGTTGCAGTGAGCCAAGATCACACCATTGCATTCC